AGACAGGGTTTTGCCATGTTGGCCAGGCTGGTCTCAATCTTCTGGCCTCAAGTGATCCACCCGTCTCAGCCTCCCGAAGTGCTGGGATTACAAGTGTGAGCCACCGTGCGTGGCCTGTAGGTTTTTGAGGTAGTGTGTGTGCCAGATTAAAAGCCTAATGTTGAGAGAAGAGAGAGAAGAGACATCTTTATTCCCACAAAGAGAGAGCAGACTCCAGGGGTCCAGCAGGGCCCCCAGGGCCACTCAGCTGGCACAGGGGAGGAGTCAGGTTCAGGCCGGGGCTCACTCCTGGCCTCTTCTCCCTCCAGGGTTCTCCATCGTGAGTCTGGCCATAGGTTATAGAAAGCAGAATGAGGCTGGGCACGGTGGCTCACGCCTGTAATCCCAGCATCTGGGAGGCCGGGGCAGGGAGATCACGAGGTCAGGAGTTCAAGGCCAGCCTGGCCAACATGGTGAAATGCCATCTCTAGTAAAAATACAAAAAATTAGCTGGGCATGGTGGCATGTGCCTGTAATCCCAGCTACTCGGGAGGCTGAGGCAGGAGAATCGCTTGAACCTGGGAGGCAGAGGTTGCAGTGAGCCGAGATCACACCACTGTACTCCAGCCTGGGCGACAGAGCAAGACTCCGTCTCAAAAAAAAAAAAAGAAAGCAGAATGAATTGGCCAGTGCGGTGGCTCATGCCTGTAATCTCTGCACCTCGGGAAGCTGAGGTGGGAGGATCACTCGAGCCCAGGAGGTTGAGGCTGCAGTGAGCTGAGGTTGCGCCACCGCGCTCCGGCTGGGATGACAGAGCTAGACCCTGTCTCAGAAAAAGAAAAGAAGGAATTTTGAACTTCCTTTCCTCAGGTCTCCGCGTCAGGGGCGCGTTCTCTTCTGTGGTCCTAAGTGTTCAGAGCTCTCTCCCTTCTCTCCTGCATAAGAGTCGAGTATGGCCCTGCAGGCTTTTCTCTCCCTGGCTCCTGCTCTTTCCTGTGGACAGGCAGGTGACCCTGGGGGAGAGGAAAGCCTTGCCGAAGGGTTTCAGTGCTCAAGTGGCAATTCAGAGACTCCCCGTTTCCTGGGCAGTGAGTAGGGTTGTCGGTCCTCCATGAAGGTCTCCCACGAGACTAACTCAAGTTTGTTTTATGGAAACAGCTCAAGCCTAGAGAAAGAACTGAAATCAGAAAAAGAGCACAGACAGGCTCTTCAGCGCGAATTACAGCACGAGAAAGACACTTCCTCTCTACTCAGGACGGAGCTACAACAAGTGGAAGGATTGAAAAAGGTGAGGTGGGCCCTCCTGGGGCAGGAGAGCCTCTGGCAGTCTCCGGAAGCCCCTGGCAGGCTCCTCTCCCCGCACCCTTTGTGTGGGGGCTCCAGGGCGTGGGGAGGCTGTTAGGGGGCTCCTGTTTTAGGAGCGAAGACAAATAAATCACTAAGCTTTCTGGCCAGCTCAGATAGAGGCGAGTGCCATGAAGAGAATAAAGCAGAACAGTGTCCTCACCCATGTGCAAGGGGCCTGGGGAGGGAGCGACCGGTGAGCAGAGGCTCCAGTGAGTTATGCCTTACAAAGCACCGCTTGGGCAGAGGCTGCAGCCAGGAGTGTGAGGAGCAAAGGGGAGGCCTCGGCGGCAGGCGGCAGGAAGCCCTTCGTGGGCCCTGGGAGTCAGGGGAAGGAACGTGGGTTTTGTTTTGAGCACAGTGGGAAGCTGGTGGAGGGACAGGATCCGTTTCGTTTGCGGAGGGTCGTTAGTTCCTGTGTGGAGAGTGGGTGGCAGGCTTGCAGGAGAGGAAGCTGGGAGGAGCCAGTCAACATCTCCCAGCACATGGCAGTCCTTACCTCAGCCACTGCCCAGGGTCGGGTCATCCCTGGGAAGCAAACTGACCCCAGCCCTCCACTGCCCCCTCCCCTCAGTCCCCTGGAGGACCCTCTCACTTGGAGGCATGGCCTGGATGCGGTGGGCTTCAGAGGGCGAGAGAAGTGGGGTCCGGGAGGCCTTCACTGTCTGGCTGTGGAACTAGACCTCCCAGGAAGCTCCGAGGCCGTGTGGAACATTCGCCCTAATGTAAAATCATCGACTTTTCCCAGAGAGGAGGAGGCTCTGCAGTCCTGGACGGGCTGACTGCAGCCTGGGGTGCTGTGGGGGCTCCTCCCGTGTGGGGATGGTGTGCCCTCCTCTCAGGCCCCTGCACTGCCGAGCACTGCAGCGCAGCGGAGCCCAAAGCAGGCTTCCCTCGGCACCTTCCCAGGAGGGGCCTTCAGGGCTGGGGTGGCTTCTGGACCTGGATTTTGTGGCGTTGAACACGGTAATGGACACCACTGAGCGATTCGAGAGAGTTAGAAAAGGCCCTTTTGATTTCCATCGGAAAGTGCCTGGAGTTGTTGGGGAAGGGAGAGCTTCCTCAAGAGCCAGGTCAGGCTTGGAGAGTGGAAGGGAGGAAGTGCAGGGCAGAAGAGGACTTTTAGAAAGTTCTGCCTCGTCACGGGGCATACCTCCTTTATTCTGCTTCAAAATGCTTTGGTCAAAAGATTCGAATGACACAATTACAGCTCGCCCCAACAACAGGAACAAAACCATGTCTAGCATCCCCAGTTAAGCCACAGCGCGCCTTGCAAGCATGTGCACAGACGCAGAAGCTACGGCACGGGGTGTGCGGGGAGCTACCCTGCCACTCGGGCCTAAGCTCCACCGCCATCCCCCGTGGTCCCAGAAACCCCAGTTACTCTCTGGGTCTCCATCCTGGCCTTACCAGACTGGCTCAAGGTGCACTGGCCCCAGGTGTCAGTGCCGTTGTCCCCTGGAATTCTGCTCCGTGCAGCGCTCCCCATGTGGTCCAGCCAGCCCCCAGGTGGTCTAGCCATGAAATGAGGTCCCAAGTCACCGCCTTCATCATCCTTGACCAGTGCTTTCCAAAAAAGCAACTTTTTCAGAGTTGAACAGGAAACCCCCTTTCAAACTAGTCTTTGCTGATGCAAGCTTCATGTGATTTTTGTGTACAGTTCTTCTATAGATTTTTCGAGATAGCAATCTGTTTTGTAAAAGTTTATCTTTTAAAAAGAAGCTCAAATAGGCAAAGCCTCATTTGTCCCATGAGGGTAACTTTTTTTTTCTTTGAGACAGAGTCTCACTCTGTCGCCCAGGCTGGAGTGCAGTGGCGCAATCTCAGCTCACTGCAACCTCCGCCTCCCCAGTTCAAGCGATTCTCGTGCCTCAGCCTCCCGAGTAGCTGGGATTACAGGCATGTGCCACCACGCCCTGCTAATTTTTGTATTTTTACTAAAGGAGGGGTTTCGCCATGTTGGCCAGGCTGGTGTTGAA